CAGGGGGCCCCTGCCGGGTGCCTCTCCTCTCGGGGCAAGGACGAGAGGCAGGAGCGCAGGCTTGAAGTGAAATTCTTCGGTGTTTCTCATTCATTCTGATGTGTTTTTTTCCCCCTTTTCAAAGGGAGAAAAAATAGTTCCTGTTTTATGTTGGATTCTTACTTCCCAAACTGCCTTGCTGAAAGCCACGTTCTGATACCTTCATACGTTTTATTTTATATGACTAGATGTTAAATAAATACTTCAAAACTAGGTCTTTAATACATGACTAATTATTCAAAATTATTTTTATCTTGCATAGAAGGTTTTTTCGTCTTCTGGAGGGAGAGAGAGGATGGAAAATGTAAAGTACCGGAGCGTAATCTCTTCACAGAAAGCACAGTGTAGTATGTACTCGTGTGTGTGCGGGTGTCTCGGATAACTTACGCCCTGGGAGCATCTCAGAAGTTTATCGCGGTGACCGCGTCCTGCAGAGAAGCACTTTTTGTAAAGCTTAGGCCATAGCAAAGATAGTCGTGTGCTCTCTTGGCACAATCATTTATGAGCTTTCCTGATAATTTCTTAGTTTTGGTGGTTTTTTCCTGCAGAAATGCAAGTAGTGCAGTTCTTTGTAGCACTGTTGTTTAACGGCTATTTACAGCTGAACTGGAATTTAACATAAAGTTATCTAGTTCCCTTTTTTATTTCCTGTTTATACTAAGAATTCCAAGAAATAATTCCTTCCACTGGGATAAAGGGAAGACTGTTCAACCTTTATCTGATGTTTTGTCTGAGAAGCAGAGTAAGGACCTTGCATAGTTTTGACCTTTTGTGAATCCTGTGCAATGAAGGGTAGGTTTGGCGAACAAGAGCAATGAAAACCCTTCCCTGGGTCTGTGTTAAAGTTCTGAATTTGACACAGAAATGAGGTATCAAATAAAACCCCCCAAAGGCTTGTGCTGCACTGATGAATAAAACATCACAGCAGCAAGATCTGTTTGCTAGAAGTATTTGGTTAGGAAATGCTACGTTGGTATTGCTTATTTTTATAAAAACAAACATTTTGAAGTGGAATACAAAACCTTGAATTTCCCGTGGGGTAGACTTCTCTGATGATTCCCAAACCTGTCTGGTTGTTTTATATCTCTTAAGGTAAGAAAATTCAAAAGCATTTGTTTTGACCTTACATAAAGCGTTTATAGAAATACTTATTTCATGGAAAATTAAACTATTGCTTGAACTGACAGAATATTTTTTTAATTATACCTGTCGTGTCTCTAGATGGTCTTGCAGGTAAATATCATTACTGGACTAAAGGTTGTGTATTAATTGTTCCATTTACAAAATTGTTCCAGGGACATTAGTTCTGTTTTGATCTCTTTTTTTTTTAATTCTAAGGATTGCCATATCTTGTCGGTTTTGTACAATAAAATTTAATGATACCCATCTTGTCCTTTGTTGTCAAGCACAATTGTGAGTTATTTTCAACAGGGTAGTGCAAATTTAATGTTTCCTGTGCCAAAGGAATGACTCTGAGAGGCAGTCAGCTGTTTGAAGTAGAGATCAAAATATAATCACTACCCTGATACACCTATCCTACAACAAAATTCTCTTCTCAGAGTAAGGAGTTAAAAAATGTTAATATTTTAAAATGTACCTGCAAGAACAGTGATTATCTGGAAATACTACTACAGTGAGAAAAGAAAGGGGAAAAAGCAGAAGGGATTTCTTTTGCAAATACGAACAAAGATCTTCTTCCCTGGTCACTTTCTTGCTCGTAATATTTGCATAAATGTTTCCATTCTCTTGACTTCTAAACCTGGCATTAGTCATCACTTGCCAGTCCTGCTTCGAGACGAACTGCATGATACATTTGAACTGACATTTAAGAATACCCAGTCAACATCTCATTGTTAATTTGAGAGTACTGTGCCGATGAGTGACACTCGTGGTTTGACAAGCGTCCGAATTTCTCGTTTCATTTATCTTAAATCGTACTTAGAAGTGGTGGATTTAAAGCCTTGATTGGAAAAATGCAGTAACAGTAATAATAATAATAATAATAATAAATGGTGGTTAAGACTGTGACTCCCTGAGCAGCTGAGTTAACGTAACAGCTCGCTGCTGCTCAAAGATCTCACTCCCCAACTCCCCGCTGTACAGTCGTGGCCCTGTCCTTGTTGTGGCACTTACTGGAGATGATCGAAAACAAAACAAAAAAAAGATATGTGGGTGGATTTTTCTCCCCTGCTCATTAGTCTTTTGCCAAGTTAATAAGTTCAGTCATCTCAAAGGGTCCAATGAGTGCAAGCGGATCATGGGAGTGGGACTTTCCCCCGTTCATCAAAAAAGAGCTGTTAAATCAGCTCACCGTGTCTCCTGGAACTAGCTTTGACACAACACCATCTTTCTCAGCGTAGCAGCTCTCTGACCTTGGAAGCTGAGTTTCTGTGACAAAAACATGTTTGCTGCCTGCTAGCCGTGATGATTTCAGAACCGTGTAGGATGGAGGCTGACGTACATCATTGGCAAAAAAAGGTTTCGGGAGGCAGTGGTTGCATTATCACTCTTGGCAATGACATCAAGGCAGTGAGCAGTTTTCACCTTCCTTCTGTAGATCCAAGGCAGCGTTTGTAGCAGTGGCAGTTGGAATGGTGATATTTATGTGAAAACTGTGTCTTCTCAGAATTAATGAAAGAATAAGAAAATAGCTCTGTGGCGTCATCTTGATGAATGAGCATAGTTACATTCCGAAACAAGGAAAGGAGCAAGACTGCAGGATTAAACCAGGCAAGCTAAAATTCTACCTGCTGACTGCGCACGCTGTTGGGATACTTCACTTCCTGCGAGGAGCCAGATCTGGGGTGTAGTGACAGAGCTACGTGCACACCTATCCCTGACCGAGTGATCCG